TCGCCATAGTGACCTTCGATCTCCCCATCTGAATGGAGGGTGTTTTGACAAGGCGATCCTCGCTCACCTCCTGATAGATGCAATCATCTTTCAGTACGTCATGAAACACGCCTTCACTGAGGAGGAACTTGCTGAAATGAGGACCTTCATGGAGAAGGTAGCTGATGGGAAGATGGGAGCCAGACACACAGCACCAATAGTTGCAGTGTTTGAACAGAGATTTGAAGAAACTTTCAAAAGACTCGCCAAGGGAGGAAGAACGCCTGCACTCTGGGTGCAGTACCACTACATGGTCGATGTCCTCAAGATCTTCATCAAAACTGAACGGCTTGCAGACCACGACGGGCACCTGTCCTGCATTGTTACCAGGATGCTGGACACCTTTGCAGCTGCGGGGCATCATCAATACCCCAAGGGCGCACGGCTGTATTGTCAGCTGATAAAGCAACTCGAAACTTCGCCTGGATACAAGGAGACCTTAGAAAGTTTCACTGCCCATGGGAACCACGTTGTTCATTACTCTTGCCATGATTGGTCTGGCACCTGGTGTGACATCTGTATCGAGCAGAGACTGATGAAGGCGGCCAAGTCAGAAGGTGGGTTGAGCAGAGGGAGGATGAGGAATAGTGATTCTGGCCACAAGTGCTGGGTGCAAACCCTCAACCACTTCTTGGATGTCAACCAGCGCATGAAGGAAGGTGTCAAGAAACATGGTCCACTCCACAAAGACCTTGCCAAAACACGGATGAAGCGAGATGCTGAAGCGATTGGACTTGCCCTCAAATGGGTCGAGGAGAACAACCCCTTCGACCCTGACCGAGACAAGCAGTTGCTTGTGTCCTTTTCAACAGGATTCACGAGCACTGCAGATAATGCAGTCAACGCTGAGAGAGCGGTTGAAGTAGGGAGGGAGATGCAGATAAAACTGGACGGACAGTCAGTGACATCGACCATGGAGGTGAAGTTCAAGGTACAGGCCCTGTCATCGCTCAGAAAGCTTCCCAAGGTCAATGAGAAGAAGATTCACCTAAACTCACTCAAGTTGTTCAACCGACTGATAATTACTGACTATAAAATGTTTTGGCCGACTAATTATGAATAACTATTGATTAATTGCCTGTGCATCTTGCCAGTTTGCGTGCATCTTGCCAGTTTGCGTGCATCTTGCCAGTTTGCGTGCATCTTGCCAGTTTGCGTCCTTTTAAATGTCTGTCTAGACGACACGACGTAAATAACAACTAACCAATCAACGTTTTGGCTATTGTATCACGCGGTTCATTATTGTCCAATAAACAATAATGATAATAGCGACAACATCCTTTGCGTTTTAGTCATTATGTTCCCAGCTCTACTTTTGTTTGTTTCTCCTTCATCGTCACGTGCGTTCTGTTGCAAACCGATCACGCTAATATGTAGATCTATTGTAATGCAAATGTACTGTATTGCAATTGTATTGTAATGTAATGGGAAATATAATGCTCGCCTTGCACACCCAACGATACGCTGTGCTCCCTATTTTGCAGTCGAGTGAGAATTTTGCATCATGGCTCCTGCAAAGCACAGAAACTATAGGCTGCAAGCACGCGCGCGTGTTGTTAGATAGTTTAAAGAGTCCATAATAGAAAATTCTATTATCGGAAACTGGACTTCTTGCTGTATTTGTTGGGGTGGTTGTTTTTTTCGTGTGCATTCGTGTGGATGGCGAAAAATGCACATGTGAAGCAAACCTGTGTTGTAGGTCTCGAGGCCGGTCTTGGGACGGTTTCTTTGGTCTCGGCCTCGGCCTTGGCCTCGGAGTGCAATAACTCGGACTCGGACTCGGACTCGAGCCCTCCGGACTCGAGAACTCGGGCCGAGGCCGGCTCGAGGCCACTACATACTACATAACTGTACATATTGTAAACACGCAGTTAAACTCTTACTTAAATGGGAAACACCCACCATTTTTGAACAAACACATACATAGACTCGGACTCGGGACTCGGGTGGTGTGGACTCGGACTCGGACTCGGGTGGCGCGGATTCGGACTCGGACTCGGACTCGGGGGGTGCGGACTCGGACTCGGACTCGGACTCGGGAGGTGCGGACTCGACTACAACACTGCTGCATACTATTCAGTGGAAAAACACTTAAATTGCCCGTTATGCGTGTGTTTCGCGAAAAATTCATTTACCAGAAAACTATGAAAGTATAAGTGAGGTAACAAAATCTATGTTGTGGCTTGGAATGCCGGCGGGTGGCAATAAAACGTCTAAAAATAACTCCGGCAAATTTATGATTTTTTTTAACTTTGTACGGTCGCGTAAATAGCAAGTAATTTCCCACCGTAATACCTGGATACGGACAAGGGTTCCAAAATGTCAAATTTCCCATTCTTCTCGTGATGAGCTTAAACAGAACGTAATTCCTCCGCCCAATACGTCGAAAGCATGCGACTTTGCCTTTGTTTTGTCGTTATAAGGTGGGAGAGGGGGAGTGTAATCTATACGCGAGACATCTCCCAGCAGAACTGACTGGTATTAGCTAGGCTGCAACTCTTATTGCGTGAGACTCTTATCCAGTAATTACAGTAAATTACCGGTTTCACAGCGAAGCTTTACACGCCGCGACAACGGCTCGCGTGCATTTTAATGACAAATAAATAAATGTTTAATACTTGCCGTAATCTTAGATGATTAATTTGGTGATGCACACTTAGTTTAACTAGATGCATTTAAACTAAACATTTACCTAACTAAGAAATTCGATGAGATTTCGGCAGTTATAATTATTCGAATACTATATGTATAATTAACAACGTGCATGATAGGTAGTAATATTGACCCATACAATCTAGAGTAATACAGTCTAATATACAACATGAGCAGTTTACTTAGGATATACCGATTGTCTTAATTAACTGATTTAAAGTCGATGTCCTTGATATGAATGTATATTTCATGACATTTATGGGAGCAGTTTGGCAGTGACAGACTGCTCTGAATGTGTCCCTAATTTCCATCGTAATTATATAAATCATCTCGGGTATATACAAGTAATACATGTAATATATAACTATGTATATATATTATGTTATATATAATTATGTATATTATGTAATATATAATTATGTAGATTATGTAATATATAATTATGTAGATTATGTAAATATAAAATGCAGCTATACGATTCGGCACGTAAGGTAGAATTAGATTTACCAAGAACGATTTCAATGCACAGCAATAATTCCGAAAATTTCTGTGCACGAAAGCCCATCTAATCAATTCAAGCAAGGATCAAAAATTCAATCATCAATTCAAGAGGATTTTGAAAATAATTTGTCAGTGAATGCCTCTTTGATAATGCACAATACAGCTTTATCCTGACAAAATATTTGCATAAATATAAGAAATATATGAATAAATAAATAAATATATATATATATATATAATGATGTATATATTTATAACATATAATAACATATATCTACAGCCATAATGACTTCGGATTTGCAAGTCCAAATCGTTGCGGTCGGGCGTGTTCAACCTAATCCTGCGATGGAATGTTCACTTATGGTTTGCTAATGGCGCTCCATGTGCTTGCGTCACGTTTAATGTCCAATATACGGGCGCAAAGTCACATAATATACACGCAATATTGTATTACTAATTGGACGCTGGATAAAAATAGGGACTTCAAAAACAATTAAGCGTTGATAAAGATATGGAATGCTTTTGTCAGTCTGCGTTTTATGAGAGAGAAAAAGAAGGATGCTAGACAGAGAGTGAGAAGATAGAGGAGAGAAAAAGAAGAGAGAGAGAGTAGAGAGAGAGAGAGAGGGAAAGAGAGAGGGAGAGAGAGTGGGTGTGTGTGCGTGTGAGAAAGAGAAGAGAGTGTGTTGTGTGTGTGGTTTGAGAGACAGATAGACAGACACGCACACACACGGCGTCGCGCGCACGCACGCACGCACGCACTCACACAGGCCCGCACGCACTCACACACACACAGCGACCTGACGAGAGAGGAAGGAGGCGAGAGAAAAGCGAGAGAAGGAGAGAGGGGAGCACAGAGAGAGAGAAAGCGAGAGAGAGTTGAGCACAGAAGACGGCCGCGGCGCAGACGAGAGAGAGAGAGGATGGAACGGCTCTCGACCGACGAGAGGAAAGAGAGCAGAAAGACGAGAGGAGAGAGGAACAAATGCGCTGCCCGCAAAGAGAACTGTCCTGGGAAAAGGCTCGCAAAACAAAAAACATGACACCTTATTCTATTTACTATATATAATATATATAATGTGTTGTGTAGCTCGTCGTGTGCGGTGATTGTGTGCGTGCGTGCTGTTGCGTGCGTGTGCGTCGCCGTGACTGTGCGTGCATGCGTGCGGGTGCGTGCTTACGTGCGTGCGTGTGTGTATGACGTGCTGGTTAGTGTTTGTTATGTTAGCCAGGCACATACACACACACACACACACACGGCATATATTATTAATATATATTATATATGTGTGTGTGTGTGTGTGTGTGTGTGTGTCTGTTGTGTGATGTCGTGGTGTGTTGTGTGTGTGCTGTGTGTGGTAGTGTTGCTGTGTGCTGTTGTATGTGTGCATGCGTGCGTTGCGTGCGTGCGCTGCGGTGGTTTTTTTTATTGTATGAGCGTGTGTGTTTGTTATGTATAGCCAGCACATACACTCACACACGCACGCATATATATAATATGTGTGTGTGTGTGTGCGGTTGTTCTTCTCACTGCATCATATACAGCAATATTTGCATCGGCGACCACCTGCTGATGCTGCGCGTCTATGTAATCGCGCTGATTTATCGAAAAGACGGGCGCAATAACGCATTCGCTGCGCGGATGATGGCGTTTGCGAGGCGTTGCCATGCCTGCGCCGTTATTTAGTACATCTGCTGACCGACCGTCGCTGAGACGTCGGCACAGTTCGTACGACACTGCCGAACTGCAACCGGACCGTCACCACAAGTGTAACAGAAAATCTCTCCCGATATCCACGTTTCTGTTCGACGGAAATGAATCGTCAGAGGAGTGTCGTAGAACGACGTGTGTACATTAACAGTATTTTAGCTGTCCTCCTGGTATGTTGGAACTGGCGTTAGTGTGAGAATGCGTTTGCTTGAGTTATGGAGTATAAGCGAGACAATACACGTGTGATGATAAACGGTACTCTCTCGCTCTCCTCTCTCTCCTTGGCCTTTCGCCATTTCTCTTTTCTTAACTCACTCACTCTCTTCTCTTTTGCGCGCGCTCTCTGTCTCTCTCGCTCACTCTCGCTATCGTTCTCTCTCGCGCGCACTCTCTCCCTCCGGCCCTCTCTCTCTCTCTCTCTCTCTCTCTCTCTCTCTCTCTCTCTCTTTCTTACTCACTCACTCTCTTCTCTCTTGCGCTCTTCTCTTTCTCTCTCTGCTTCTGTCTCGTTTTCTCTTCTCTCTTACGCTCTCTCTCTCTCTCTCTATCTGTCTGGCTGTCTCTCTCTCTCTTTCTCTCTCTGTCTATCGCTCTCTCTGTCCATCCTCTCTCTCTCTCTCTCTCTTTCTCTCAATCTTACGATCAGGCAAGCCTTAATGTGCGCTGTTAAGTCAACCGTTGCGTGGTCCGCACGCAACGCACGCACTGTACGCCACCACGCTCGCACGCACAGCTTCGCACGCACCGCACACACGCCCGCACGCCCGCACACAACGCACACACCGCGCGCACACACGCGCGCATGGTCCGCACTCCACGTCTCGTCCGCACACAATGCACGCACGCACGCAAGGGCACGGCACGACGCACACACGCCGCGCATGTTCGCAGTACGAACGCACGCCTTGCAGAACACGCTCGCACGCGGCCCGCACGACCGCCCGTCCGCACGCACGCACGACCTGACGCCCCGACCACCGACCCCCCGCCCGCAACGCCCGCCACGGACACCCGCCCGCACGCACGCCCGCACGTACCGCCGCACGCACGGACGCCACCCGCACGCACGCCTGCAGACCCTGCGCTCGGCACACGCCCGCCCGCACGCACTCACGCCGCCCGCCTGCACCGCACGCAGCGGCACGACCGCTCGCCCGCAC